GTCGATGGGACTGTAGAGTTAGTGTGAGAGTGTAGTTGAGTGTGTGTGTGTGTGTGTGTGTGTGTGGAATGACAAACATTTGTTGTGTTTGTCAAATGAAGGTGTAGTGTGAGTGGTTTTCTGATGAGTGTTGGTGTTGATCGTTCGTACTGAGATTGTGGATGGATGGGCAGACGCTGTGATCGTGGGAAGTCACTGTGTCTGTTTCTTTCTTTTGTGCGTTTTTGGGTTGTGTGTTTTAAGTTCGATCAGCTCTTCTACATGATGCTTGCAAGTTCTACCAGTTATACTGAATGTGATCCGAATGATTGTGATGACTGGTGTTTTAAGCATTGTGGGGAGGTGGATCGGTGGAGTGTTTTTGTAATATCTCGACTGTTTTCACTGAATACTCTGTAATGTCAATGTAGTGTGTTTATGCTGATGGTTTTGGCTTCGATTGTTGACGTGTTTATTTGTGGAATAGACATTATACGAGGTGTGTGTTTTGATGCTGCCCGATCGTGTGTTTGTGATATGTGTGTGTGGGTCGGTGGAGTTGGTTCGGTGATGATGCTGATATGTGATGGTTGAATTGTAGTGTATATTTGACTGGTGTGTGTGTGTGTGTGTGTGAGTGTAGTCGGACGTTGAAGTGATTGGTGTAGTATTGAATGATATTGATGATGGGATTTCAGTTTGTGTTGGTGTTTTGATTTTGGTGTCCAAAGACCACTGTACCGATTTGCAAGGTATGCGTTGGGGGACGGGACACCTACATGAATCTATGATGTCGCATTCTGGAACTCGGTAGAGTATAGTTCCGGTGTACATCGGACATTGTTTGTGAAGTTGTCTTTGTGTGATTTGGATAGGAATTTGTATTTGTGTAACGGGAGACGAGTGATTGTGTGTTTACATAGGAGAGGCTGTTTGTTTGGAATTAGAGGATTGTTTGAGATTTGTGTGTGTGTGTGTGTGTGTGTGGAATTTGTTTGGTTGTCAGTGGAATGTGACTGTTTTGTTGTTGATGTTGTTAATTTGAAGCAGCTGTGGTGATGACGATTTGGAGTTTGGAGTGAAGGACATAGGTGCCAGATGTTGTATTGAATTGAATGAAGCTAACTGACTGACTGACTGATCAGTCGAGCGTAATGTGATTCAGACAGGGTGATGTGTTTAGTTAGAGATAGGTATGACGACGTTTCGTTTAGATGGGTGTGAGACTGAATAGGTGTTTTGAGTGAGATTGAGTGAGTGTGTTTGTGTGTGTGTTGATGGTGACTTTGTGTATTTGTGATAATTGAGTAGTTGGATTAGTTATGTTTTGGTATTAGTGTTGATTGATGCAAGTGTGACACTACAGGTGCCTGATTCCAGTACGAGGATACAGAGTGTTAGCTTGCTACATTGTTGTTTCCGTCCTCTTCCCTGCACAGACTCTGATGATTGTGTCAGGTGTACAGAACGGATATATATCTATTAAATTGTTGTTGTTGTGTGTGTGTGTGTGTGCGTGCGTGTGTGGTATTATTGGTGATGATGATGATGGTGGTGGTGGTTTTGCAGTATTGTAGTTAATGTACAAGTTGCTGAGGGCTTTGTATTATAGTTGGTTGTTGTTGTGACGTGTGTTATTTGTGCATATATGGTGAGTGTATTGATGAGAGGTAAGCGAGGATTAGTTGTGCTTGTAATTGAGAGAGTGTTGTGATGGATGAGTAGGTGTAGAGACTTGATATGAGTGAATTGTTTATTTGACTGTTGGAGTGGATTGTGAAGGGGAATAATTCGGTGTTATCTGAGCCTGTATTCGTGATGTGAGTATGAGGTCAAGTGGACACCGTACAATGAGTGACAGATGTCGCACGACTTGTCTGTGTTTGGCAAGGACGGAGACTGTGAGTAATCAGACAGTTGTTTATCATTCGACGGTTTTTGAGTGAACATTGATTATTTGTCGATGGGACTGTAGAGTTAGTGTGAGAGTGTAGTTGAGTGTGTGTGTGTGTGTGTGTGTGTGGAATGACAAACATTTGTTGTGTTTGTCAAATGAAGGTGTAGTGTGAGTGGTTTTCTGATGAGTGTTGGTGTTGATCGTTCGTACTGAGATTGTGGATGGATGGGCAGACGCTGTGATCGTGGGAAGTCACTGTGTCTGTTTCTTTCTTTTGTGCGTTTTTGGGTTGTGTGTTTTAAGTTCGATCAGCTCTTCTACATGATGCTTGCAAGTTCTACCAGTTATACTGAATGTGATCCGAATGATTGTGATGACTGGTGTTTTAAGCATTGTGGGGAGGTGGATCGGTGGAGTGTTTTTGTAATATCTCGACTGTTTTCACTGAATACTCTGTAATGTCAATGTAGTGTGTTTATGCTGATGGTTTTGGCTTCGATTGTTGACGTGTTTATTTGTGGAATAGACATTATACGAGGTGTGTGTTTTGATGCTGCCCGATCGTGTGTTTGTGATATGTGTGTGTGGGTCGGTGGAGTTGGTTCGGTGATGATGCTGATATGTGATGGTTGAATTGTAGTGTATATTTGACTGGTGTGTGTGTGTGTGTGTGTGAGTGTAGTCGGACGTTGAAGTGATTGGTGTAGTATTGAATGGTATTGATGATGGGATTTCAGTTTGTGTTGGTGTTTTGATTTTGGTGTCCAAAGACCACTGTACCGATTTGCAAGGTATGCGTTGGGGGACGGGACACCTACATGAATCTATGATGTCGCATTCTGGAACTCGGTAGAGTATAGTTCCGGTGTACATCAGACATTGTTTGTGAAGTTGTCTTTGTGTGATTTGGATAGGAATTTGTATTTGTGTAACGGGAGACGAGTGATTGTGTGTTTACATAGGAGAGGCTGTTTGTTTGGAATTAGAGGATTGTTTGAGATTTGTGTGTGTGTGTGTGTGTGTGGAATTTGTTTGGTTGTCAGTGGAATGTGACTGTTTTGTTGTTGATGTTGTTAATTTGAAGCAGCTGTGGTGATGACGATTTGGAGTTTGGAGTGAAGGACATAGGTGCCAGATGTTGTATTGAATTGAATGAGGCTAACTGACTGACTGACTGACTGACTGATCAGTCGAGCGTAATGTGATTCAGACAGGGTGATGTGTTTAGTTAGAGATAGGTATGATGACGTTTCGTTTAGATGGGTGTGAGACTGAATAGGTGTTTTGAGTGAGATTGAGTGAGTGTGTTTGTGTGTGTGTTGATGGTGACTTTGTGTATTTGTGATAATTGAGTAGTTGGATTAGTTATGTTTTGGTATTAGTGTTGATTGATGCAGGTTTGGCAGTTGAAGTTTATGATTTGAGTAATTTTTTTTAGCTAGATTTTATTTCCTTAGTGCTTTGTTTTTAGTTTGTTGTCGTATTGCCGTTGGTTGTTCTTTGGAATTTATCTTGTTTTTGAATGAATTCTTCTGCCATTTTGAGGATGCCAATTCTTATTGATTTCTGGTTTACTGGTGTTCGGGATCTTCCAGTATAGTTTTTTTGGGTTTTTCATTTTTAGCGTTTCTCTTATTATATATTTATACAATGTAGATCGAATTGATGGAACGTAAACTCAAAATTCGATTAATTGACTAATTATGAGCTTTGTTCAACATTACTTCCTTTTTGATTCAATGTGATCACTCAGTATTTCTTTTCTTTTCTCGTATGATAATTTATTGTGTATGATATACGATGTTCTTGTATTAAATTAACATAAAATAAACTCAGTATATGATTTGTTATAACTATTTTTCATTCATGTGATTTCATCATAATTATTAATCAAAAATGGGTGTATTAATCAATATCTAAACGAGTGTATTTCCGACTAGGGTCGTCGTTTTTTGGGGTTAATAAATCATCACTTATACTAGTGTTGGTGTTCTTACTTTCGCGTCGTGGGAATTGCAGAGGTCCCTCGTTTCGAGTATATGTGATAAGGGTTTCCGACACAACAATCAAGGATGACCAGTTATGAAAAGTAGCACTAAACAAGACAATCGAATACAAAAGGCACGCCACTGTGGTTCATAAATTAACCCAAATTTTTACTAAATTGTCCATCTATCCCACAGAAAGTTAGGCCAGATGTTCTCTATTTATTCGCTTCGGTTTGGGCACCCGGGCAGTATCACAGCCTTCACACATATTGAATGAGATTTGTGTAGCGCATGTGTTTTTGGTGCCTCCTTGTACCAATATTTGTGTTCAAATAAATAATAATAATCGATGTATTAGTTTTCCTTTCTGGGAAATAAGTCTGATTCAGCTGCGAGACTTGAGGTACAGATATGTTACTTGATCAGCAAGCATAATCCTACGTCCTATTGTATTCATTGTTTTCAGATCCCTTAAGTGAAAAGGACATTTACAAATGCGAAGTAGTTCTCAGAATGGGTTTTGTGGAGAATTTTAGAAATTTCACAGGTTGAAATCATGAGTCAGTTGAAGCTAGACCACCATTGAAAACCTGGAAGCACTGGACGGCCGTTTCGTCCTGGTATGGGACTCCTCAGCAGTGCACATCCACGATCCCACACCACGCGGGGCTCGAACCCAGGACCTACTGGCTTCGCGCGCGAGCACTTAACCACTAGACCACTGAGCCGGCATCCAACGGTGTTAATGTCTAACTTCAACCAATCCACGAAGTTGCGCCACCGTACACCATTGTCTTCAGTGAGTTGTTATCTCATAACAGACCGGTTGAACTCCACTGGTAACGGCTCACTAGTGACTGACTTCAGGAAAAACTCCTGAAGTTCTAGTGAGAAGCTAGAGACGAAGCGCCATGGTTTTGGATATATAGAAAACTTCTTGCTAGCTCAAAAAAATTACCAGCCAGATGGCCAAATTTACCTATGCGTGCTCTGTATTGCCAGAGAATACCGCATACCAAGTCGAGGAAGGTTTATTAAACCCAAACCAGGCTCGCCGTAGGACGTTCCGGAAAATGAAATCATTAAAGTCACGTCTTTATCCCATCGAGACAACAACAAAGGAAAATGAAATGTGTAGAATATTTCGAACAATGAATCTATTCACAATTTCAAACTAAGTACATGAGATATTAAAATTTTTTATGACTGCCGAAAAAAACAATCAGCGTAGTGGTTTCCATGGTTCGATTATTTCACCGAATGTTTGATAGGCTATATGCAAAGAAAAACACATAATTGGATCTACATATTAGCTATATAGTTGGTTGTGTAACTTGTTAGATAAAAGTTATATATTTGTAGTCAGCTGAAAACTGACATCAGATGAGATCACATAAAAAAATTAAATTAAAAAATACATCATTTGATACTGGATTTAACAGTCATACTGGGGTAGAATCTCGACGTTTTTTCATCGAATGACTCAAGCCCCTTTGACGCTAATAGATAATTCCACCACTGAAGAAAGACGGTGCTTCGAAATTGTCCTTAAAAATAATTGAACTCCTAAAACAATTCAGTTACCAATGCGTCTTAATGTATTCGGCTTTCCGAAATCAGTCAGTCACAACGTAGAACCTGTACGTATGTACATTGGTTCAAGTAACATCACCCCATTAGCAGAGGGAGACGAAGTTATGTTGTAAGGCCAAATCCCAGAATACTAGAGGTAATAACAGTATAAGTGCTAATTAAAAAAATTAGGCATCGAAGACAGGACTCGAAAAAAAAGTTATAAGGAATTCAGAATCTAAGAATCCGGAGGAACGCAAAGTGGATGTGCCTGTTCCATTGCAAACGATTTTGAACTATGCCATTTAAAGTCTCTAACCACTGGTTACGATAATCAACCGAGTCCCAACAGGGCAGTTTGTGCACATTACTATGGCTCTGTCTAATTGCCAGTGATGTTATGTCTTGGTTTGGACGCCTTTAGCTTTCTTCCAGTACCTGGAAAAATCACCCGTCGAAGTAGGCGGTGGTTGGGCATACGTAGCACATGTCCCAACAACCTCAATTAATAGAGATCTAATACCTTATCAGTCGATTTCATATATTTGCCGAATATCCTATTCAAAATCAGTGGTCCCAAAATACACGAGCAATGCATCGTAGACACCAAGGATGGGATAACAGTAATCTGCGAATATCTCCTTGAGTTGGGAGCTGGTTTGTTCTCTACCACAGTAGGCTGCTGCTGATGGTATCCGGCCAATGGATGTTGAATATCTTGAGTAGGCAACTGTTTATAAATACTTGTACCTTTTGATGATGGTTGTTGTAGTTCTCCGCGTTTCAGCTCCGTACAGTCGAGGTTTTCAAATTCCGGTCAATCACCAGATGAAAGAGATAGGGGAAGAGTAAGCTGCTTTGTCTGACTTCAGGTCCTCACTTGGAATGCATCTGTCAGCTGTCCTCCATGCACCACGTTGCAATGAATTCCGGGTGATGTTGAATATCGTTTCAGGTACACCATAGTGTCGAAGAAGTTTCCATAGTGTTCTCCTGTCCACACTATTAAAAGCTTTCTCATAGTCAATAAAGTTGATATATAGTGACGAGTTTCATTCAACTGATTGTTCAACGATGATCCGTAGTGTCGCGAATCGGTCTGTGCACGATCCTTACGGAGTCCGGTCAGCTGATCTCAAAGTTGGGTGTCTACTGAATCCTCTATCCAGTTCACCTAAGTCAGCTACTCTCCTGGTTCTCACGTCTTCCATTGTCCTTCTGAATTCTTCATTGATACAAGTATGATCTATCTGGTTCTCTGTAGTGTGATCCGGTGAGATTCACATAGCTTTGTGTATGCGTTTGTGTGGGAATATTGTGCCACCTATAACCGATTTGTTGAATGCACATAGGTTTGCAAATCTCTCACCATTCTCGTTCATTTCTCCTGGTTCATGTCGTCCTACGATATCTTCATATCCCGTGTTGTCCATTCCGACTCTGGCGTTTAGGTCTCCCATCACGATTGTGAGATCCTTTCTTGGGCACTCCGCTATGATTGATTGCAACCTCTCATAGAACTTATCCTTATTGTCGTTGTTGCTATTATTAGTGGGTGCATCATATTGGATGGCGTTCATCGTGATTCCCTCCTTCTTTGTTTTGAAAGATACCATCACTGGAATCATGTTCGTTTTTATGAATTTTCTATATTCCATTGTTGAAATCCATTAGGTAGCGTTTATTTCTAGGAGAATTAATTTAATAGATATGCACTTTTTGACTTACATAAATCTATTCGTTTTGTGTAGAACAAGTCGAAGATTCTTTACAAAACGCTGAACAGCGTCTTACTCAAGCATCTTTAAAAGCTAAGTTAGCTCATGAGAAAGCAGCAAACGCCGTAGCTGAATTTAAAAAAGAAGAACAGGAAGCTGAAAATGCACTTTCAGAAGCTAAAGTTCAACTGGAATCCACGGTTAGTGCTTTAAGGGAGAAGAATTCTCTAAAAGAAACTTTACGCTTAGAAGCTGAAGAACTGTCAAAAGAACTAAATACTTTAAAGGTAACTTTTTTTCTCGGTTAAGTAATCACATGCATCAGATTTTCCTAACTTATATAAGCAACGTTATGATATATCTTGTAGACATTCAACCACTATATCGTAGATTCGTGTCCTACCCCATCTATTTCAATTTGGCGACCTGAGTATTTCCATAGCCATCACGCAGGGTTTGATTCAAAGCCAAGTGCACAAATCTATATGTGGGAATTTGCATCATGTCAATAAACATGATACTAGTCATTATAAGCAAAAATGGTTGGTGGCTAGCAGCGGAATTTAAGACGCTCGTTCTGTCGTATTTGGGACTTTTCAGCTGGATGTACCTGCACCCTAGAGTTGATGTCTAAGTCGGGACTCAAACCCATTACCGTTCGCTTCAAACGCTATCGCGTTACCCACTTAGCTACTAAGTTCAGATAGCCATTAGCCTACCTGCTTCAGTTTGGGCACCCGGGCAGTATCACAGCCCTCACACAAATCTAATGAGATTTGTGTGGCGCATATGTATCTGGTGCCCCCTTGTGCCAAATTTTGTGTTCGAATAAATAGATAAATAAATAAAATAAAATAAAGCCGCTAGCTTGCGCAAGGGGATGAAGTTTAATTCATTTTCGTATTGGTGGATATTTTGAACATAGAAGTTAAATTGTATGTATATTATCATACTATTTTCAGTTTTGATGTATGAATGAATATACGTGTCATATTGCAGACATGTATTGGAATTGCAAAACCAAACATCTAAGGAATGCGTAAAAACAAAGATGTACAAATAAGGCGGTCAGTGATATATAAAAGCCCATAATTACTAAAGCTTATTCAGCTCACAAGTTTTGTATGACATAATAAAACCAGTTACTCAGTAAAATTAACTGTACAAGTTTAAATAAAAAAGTAACGTTATTCTTCATAAATAACAGCTCGCCATCAATGAAATAGCACTTTGTGTAAGGTGTGCTTTGTTTTGTGCAACGACGTAAATCATGTAAATAAGATACTCGGAACTTTAAATGAAGTCCATTGTAATACCAAATTTACGGTGGAACATGGGTGTGTACATTCTTCACAAAGAAACGTGGAGTAGATAATATTTGATATTTTATGGCTTTTGCCCTATAAGCTATGAACACGGATTAGTGCGAATTCTCAGTAACAGGGTTATGGAATCTCGAATATGAAGCGATAGATAATTGTTTATGAATGAAATGTATAGTCTCGAGCCTTTATAAGGATATATAGTACCGCACACAGTAATAAGATGGAAGTTTACAAGTCTGATCAAAGGCGTTCAACTACGATTACGTCACGAATGAAATAAGACTAAATCTAGCTCTAAAAGTCCATTTTCTTTAGAAAAATTGTGATTAGTGTACATAACACAAGGTTTATTATATCAGAAGGGTTTTTGTGGATATTATAGTAATTTCAATGGTTGAGATCATGAGTCGATTGAAGCTAGACCACCATGAAAACCTGGAAGCACTGGACGGCCGTTTTGTCCTATCGTAGGACTCCTCAGCAGTGCGCATCCACGATCCCGCCTCGCGAGATTCGAACCCAGGACCTATCAGCCTCGTGCGCTGGGGAACCCCACAATAGGAAGAAACGACCGTCCGGCGCTTCCAGGTTTTCCATGGTGGTCTAGCTTCAATTGACTCATGATCTCAACAAAGTTTACCAAACGAAAAAGGTGGACAGATACACGTTATCTCCATAAACCACTTATATCAACTTACATGCACACAGCATATTGAACACATCTCAAAGGACATATGCTTATGAGGATAAAATGAACGTTTTAGTTCCATACCACGTCAAATACATGCAATATCGAACCCGTGACATGTATACATTGATCAAAGTTGCTACATCATATCAGCGCAGCGAGGTGTTACAGCAATGTAATTAGTAGAAATATTGGTGGTTTCAGAAAATATTAGGTTGAGATGAAAAACGGATTAGTGACATTTTTCAGGATAATTATCCTAAAAAAGACTTGGGATCTAAAAAGTAAGTGCACTTGGGCCACTGAGAACGATTTTGAGCCATGCTACCAAACGTCTAACTATTTATTACCATAATCACACGGACCCCAACCAGATAGTCTGCACCTAATTACATGGCTCAGGTCAGTAATCAGTGTTTTCATGGACTGATAACACGACTTAGTTTGGCCGTCCCTATCATTTTTCTGACCTACTCTTAAACCAGCCATTATCGCGCGTCGACGTAGACACTAGTTAGATATACGTGATTCAAGTCCTGTTCATCTTAGTTGATGAAAACTTACTATCTTATCAATCGATACTCCATCGTCTCTATTACTCTGCATCTAACCTCAGAATTTGTAGCTCAATGGTTTCAACATCTAAAAGTAATACTTTGAGGGCATCCATAACCAAATACTAATAGTCTACGAATAGGGGTTGTTTCCCGAGGCTTCGACCTAGAGGTATAATCTATAAGGCGGTTCCATGGTACCCGGCGACCAACAATAGGTTCGTACGTCATTTGCTTTTTCAGGATCCTAGACTCGTTTAAGCCACTGGTTTGGAATCAGGATTTTCCAACCCCTTTAGTTGGGTCCTTCGTACCTACTAAGCCGTTTTAAGTATCGAATATTCGCATTTCTTCCCTTCAATTTCGTAAACAACATCCCTACCGCAAGAAGGAAGTGAGTAGGACTTTCATAGCAGTTGCTGTATACGAGTGCCAATTTCGAGAAAGAGCATACTCTTCACACTCTCGGCCGTACCAAGGCATTTGGGGGTCATTCTTGTTTAATGTTTAAGTTTGTTAGGCGAACCCATTGCATGAAATAGTTGTAATGATTATTATTAATCTACTGAATTTACAACTAAATAACCAAAGCCTATAGATGTGATATTTGTAAAAAAAAATTAAGATAATCATTTCTTTAGCAACCAAACTCGAAATCTCTTGCAGTAGAGTTTACATAGAATGTATGCTACTATTCGGCATTATTAACGAGGAATTCATAATAAAACAGTAACACGAGAACGTTTCTACATTTTATTATATTATTGACTGTAATTACCAATAGGTAAGCTATAGTTGTTTTCTAGACAACCCCGAATAAAAATGATGACGGATATTTCGTTTGACATTGAGGAACGTTAAAGATTTAAGCCATAAATCACAGTTTGAAAACAGACGTATTGTTTGCCAATGAGTTATAATCACTATTTGACCAAAGTATTTTACTTCATATTTAAATGGTAGGTTATTTCATAAAATGAGGCTCAGTGATCGTGCAAGAAACTCTTGACGGAGACAATTAAACTACAGATTTCTAAACATTTTAATACCTTACATCTTAAGTGTGTGTTTTGAAACTTTATTAAGGCAAGATATAAATGTATGTATACTTGAATAAATCAGTAGCAACTTAGAACTTTGTACGTACGTACATCAGTCCGAGTTGCCACAGCACATTAGCACAGAGATACAATTGTCTATTCAAATCCCGTAGTGGTAGTGACGGTAAGAGTATAAGCAGGAATCAGAGAGATTAGGGTTTGAAGATGTTATTCAAGGAGTATAATACAGTGAAATAAATTTGGAAAGAGGAAAAAAGGGACATGAAGAATTCAGAAGATCAGAGTTGGGAAGAACACAAAGAGTGGATGCACCAGCGCACACCAATGCAAACGATTTTGAGCCACGTCATTCAGGGTCTCTAACCATCGGTTGCTATCATCTCGCGGATCCCAACCAGAAAGTCTACACCTACCAACATGGCTCAGTCCACTTGTCTGTGACTTCATGGATTTATGCCATGTTTTGGTCTGGCCATCCCTAGCTTTCTTCCAACCTACTCCTATGCCATTGAACATCGCACGTCGGGGCAGTCGGTGGTTGGGCATACGTAACACGTGTCCCAGCCATCTCAACTGATGAACTTTCACTACTTCATCAATTGATTTGCCATCCTTACCTAGCACCCGTTTTCTAACAACTGCGTTACTTATTCGATGGTCCCAGGATATACGAGCAATGTTTCGAAGACACCTATGATCAAATAATAGTAACCTACGAATGTCTTCTACTCTTACTGGTCATGTTTCCCTGCCACAAAGTAGAACGGAACAAACTGCTGCTAAGTAAACCGGTCCTTCGTTTGATAGACAGATATCTCGCCTACGCCATAAATGACGCAAGTTGGCAAGAGCTAGTCGAGCCTTCTGTATCCGTGCTGAAATTTTGTCACACACCAGACTACAAGGGCTGATGAGACTTCTGAGATAAGTGAAGCGGTCGACCCGTTCAACTATTTCACTCCCTATCATTACTTCGGGTTTCGATGCAACCCAATCCTGAAGCAACATTTTGCATTTCGAGGGAGAGAATCGCATGCCGAACATGAATGCATTGTTGCTTATAGTGGTCAGGAGACTACATTTTGTCAGCGTCATCGATCTTAAATCACACCAAAGCTGTAACCTATGATCATAATCATAATTATACATAATGATCCGGTACATTTACAATTATTGCTCATTTACTGAATGTAAATCACTGAACTATCCTTCATCTAACCTTTTTTTAACCGTCTTAGTGCCGTATTTTCAATAACGTTGACTTGATTATGCAAATCAGTTTATTCCACCTTAGTTAAAACTTATGAATGAGATTAATACAAAAAACAATGGCATGCAAAATATTATTCTAATGTGACCTATATGCAAATAAAGGACTAAAAGGGGGACTAGTTACCTGAGGAACTCTAATCGAACTATTACAAGTTAAAACCTATAGAAATGAAGACTACAAGACAAAATTTTTAATTTATTTGCAAGAACACGTGTAAACAATCCCATGATCAGTAAAATATTCCCCTTGTAGATTATAACGAAACTTAACTACCAAACACAGATTTACGTACTTGACTTTGAACCTCAGTCTGTGTAGGAACTAGCGATACTGCTCGAATGGCCAAACTGAATTAGATCTAGAGGAATATAGGTCTACGATTTATTGAGGTTGGATCCTCTAAGCCATTGCTTTACGTTCTTATACTTCGTACACGAGTCTGGTGCAACTGGGCACCAAAAACAGAATACACCACACGGGGCAACATGGTGACTGTTGGAAACATTAATTGGATATGGCCTTTTAAACTTTTCCCACTGTTATTAGTAATGTCAAGGTATTTTTGGTAGATATAATTCTAATGAGGGTTTCTGCTCTACAAAAATGCCTAATGTCACGTTGTCTTGACGTTTAATTAAAAACCGAAAACATAAACTACAAAATTTTGCTTTCGATTGAGCAACGTTAAAACCCTTTACAAAGGCAAATAGACAACACTGAATTCCGATAAAAAAATTTGCAAAAACAGTGTATTAAATTTTCCAAAAACAAAGAATGCAGATTCACAGCTGAATCACCAGTTGACCGAATGATTTAAAACGATCAATCCTAAATCCGTTTAAGAAAACTCGGGTTCTTTTAAATGACGCTTAAATAATGGCATTACAAACTAATAGTAAGTTCATATCCATTATAACAATCCTGATATTCTGCACCATTTTAAATTAACAATAATGACCAAAGCAACATAAACTCCTCAGTAATTTCATTGGAAAACTACTTCATTATTCATGACTGAAAGTCTTCCTGTGAACCTTTATTAGTTTAGTAGTGCCAATATTCAATCGATAAACTAGTACTTTCGAAAACTTAAAGGATTGGATCTTAACGACCGTGTTTCCAAACTGCAATGTACATGACTAAAAGACTACTGTAATATACAATTAAAATCCCCACCAAGCAAAAGATAAAAATTTGCCAACTATTACAAGCTAGTGAGTGCTAAAACTGTTTTCATGATCAAGTTTAGAATAAATTACTGGTTTTTGACTATGTTAAAATAAAAACGAACAAAAAAGTGCTTCCTAAATTCTCATTCTTATTGCGTTTAATTTAAATAGAATCAGTTTACGACATTGGGACATGACACATTGGATGAATGCTTAAAACTAATTGCTCCGAATGGTTAAACAACACATCCTGTGGGACACATTAAATTTGATCTGTTAGAATTTAGTAATGCCCGTTTGCCGATGAACGCTAAGTTATAACTACTACTGTTAGCATGAATATCTATAAATTCTCTGAAAACATAACCTATACATACCAACTGAAAATAAATGAAACAATCAGATTAAAAGTATAAAATTATCCAACCTTTGTGTTACTGGCTTAAAGATAGCAGTTTAAATACATAATAAAAACCTCCCAAACTAGGCAATATAAAAAATTTATGATATAGAAATGTACAATAATTAGTATAGGCAGAAAATAAACTTACATTTTACAGGAACTCTATCTGGAAATTGAGATTTATAGATATCGATAGCCTTGAGATGAGTCACTTTCCTTTTGTGGAACGCTTTTAGTGCTTCGCGAGAAATTATGTAGGCGCCACCTCCCAAAAGAACTGTTCGGTAAAGATCTAGGATAAATGACGAATTTTTATGTGAAGCTAATAGTTTCTAAACCGAATTTTACTATCAGAAAACTTAAGAAAACCTTTACTACATTTCTAAGAATTTTGATGGAGACAAAAATTAATTGGATGGGCTTCTATAACAAAATTGTTCCCCAAAAAAATTAGCCTGTTGATAAAAATCCACCTGAATAGTTTGCGTGAAGGCTATCAAACATTGTCTATTCCGTGTACATCTAAATATCTCGTGATTAACATCGTATAATGTGTATTTGATGGTGTTACAGTAAATCAGATAATTGAGCAGAGGTAGTTCTATGGCGACTTTTCCTAATTATCAATTTTTCTGACGATCCATTATCGCTTTAATATCATTTTACGCTAACGCAGTTACCCAACTTCTAAAAGACTTCTAATGCTTTGATGTCCATCTTGATTAATTTGAACCTAGGGTCCAACTAGGCAGCGTTATCTACTTTCTCAAATCTCCTTTTGGTATCTCTTTGAAGACATTGTGGAACATCGACAGAAGGTGTGATAGATGATGATAAAGCTCGAAAGAAACATGAAAGCCACAATCTTAATGAGTGGTAATGCATAAACTAGTGGAATCATGATCAGTTCATAGCCATAAGTATTTTAGGTTTTGTACAATAGGTGCATATTCAGTGAATGCCATGACAACCATTGTTTGCTGAAGCTTGGACCATTTGGAAAGCATTTAAAGTGATCAGTTTCTGTGGTGAAACCGTAACAAGTAATTTTAGTGGATAAGCAACCGTCGCCGTATGACTTTTTGGATGAGGCCCCGGAAATAATGCTACAAGATAGCCTGAAATATTGCCAAAAATGACTCAAAATTATAATTAATAATCTTTCCGTTCATTTCTTTTACCTAGCTAAAAAGACATAGCAAAGACTGCATAATCTTTGTAAATATTCTGTGATTTTACTTTGGATTCTTTTATTCATTGATCCCTTTTTAATCCAGTTGCTAGAATAAAAGCCAGTGGGGATCCTGCAGTAACTTTCTTTTACTTCGTAAAAAAAATGAGCGTAACTTTTTTTAACTGGAAGAATTCTTTCTGGTTGTCTTATTTCACTCTCATGCACCAATTTCTGTTCGTTGTTGATCTCTTTATTCTAATACTCACTTTAAATTCTCTATCTCTTCACATTCTTATTATTATTGTGTGGCGCATATGTATTTGGTGCCCCTTTGCACCAATATTCGTGTTCAAATAAATAAAAAACAGTCGGTGACCATGATGCACCAAAATTCTCAACATATAATGAGTTATAAAAATCGTAGTGGTAATAATAATAGATAGGCATGTTACCACAAAACTCGGAAGATACATGACTGGCATCATTGAAACGAATCATACAACAAATACTTTATTACAGTCTCAAGGATTGATTGTATAAATAGAACAAATTCATTGATAAGAATTTCACTGAACAAACTCTCCTATTAATTTAAATATAAAAACTTGGCATAATGAAGGCCCTGAGACATACGTCATACAATACCACAATATTCTTAGGAAATAGATGTAGACAGGATATAACAACAATAAAACGTTAAAGTCTCACTAAGACCCTGGGAAGTTCCTCTTTTCTGGAAAAGCAGCAGCAACATTTGTTAGTTCCGGATGGTTTTGCAACAACATAACGTTCTTTACCATATCTAAACATAAGTGAGCCTTAGGACTACGTTATCATGACATTAAATAAGCGTAAAACATGAAAACAGTGGTGACCAGACATCCTCGAAAATACCAAAATTTAAAGGTGTACAACCTAAATGTAATGATTAGAAGTATCTCAGACTACAAGCTATTAACATTTGCTATGCAATGACTAGTTTCGCCTACTAAATGACGGTTTACATTTACTGGGGTATGTTTACACATGGTTTAAGTAGAATGGCAGTTTCTGGTCAAAATAGCCAACACTGCAGTTTGTTGTAACCGGTTTAATGTTCAAGATTGCTGACATAATGTCCCAAATGTGTGGCTACCTGGAGTAAAGACGGGGAACAAAAGTCTGAGTCAGTACTTTCGAATTTTCACTTGTTGCAAGCCAGATAAACAGCAACGAGGTCTCTAACCACATTTATACGTATGCTTACCGGATTTCAGTTAACAGGCCGGAGTGCACAAAAACATCAGGATAAAAATGAGCTCATGACAATCATATTATTGACTGCCATGTTAATAAGTAAAATTTAGATATCTCTAAACGCAACATGTCGGTGCGAAATAAGTGTATAAGGACAATATGGGAAGCTCAGTGAAAATATAAAAAGCCGGATCTATAATAAAGCAGCCTAAGAGACTATTCTCGTACATGAATTACAGGACAAGGACGCAGCATAGGATTCCAAACCTAATTACGGAAGGGATTGTGTCTCAAATGATGGATGGTCAGGAAAAAGCAGAGGCTATGACGAACTATTTCAGGACAGTTTTCACTCAGGAACCTCTTCTAGACGAATAACCAGACCTAAATACAAAGTCGAAAAATCGTCTGCTCACTTTGGACTTCGATCGAAACGATGTACTTTGGATATGAAGAAGTCAATAAAACTGGATGAACTATATTATAAAATCTTGAGACGAATTGCACAAGATATTGCTGCCCCATCGACTACAATATTCAATATGTCGCTTGACCAAGGTGAGTTACCAAAAAACTGGAACGGTGCAATTGTCACTCCAATACATAAAACAGGATCAAGACAACTCCCATCAAACTATAGACCTGTCGGCCTCACCAGTGTCGTAGTTAAAATACTGGGAAGAATGATCAACAAGATGATGACATTCGTGGAAACCAACAACTTGTTAAACAGCGAACATGGTTTCAGGAAACGTTTATCTTGCACATCAAATCTCCTTATAGCAAGAGAGAACTAGATAGAGGATCTAGACAAGGCAAAATCAGTGGATGTTATCTACATAGACTTTAGCAAGGGATTTTATAAAGTGCAGAAAATAACACTATTGTTGAAGCTGGAAAATTATGGCATTGACGCACCTCTCCTAAAGTGGCTTAAGGATTTCTTGACGGGTCGTAGACAGAAAGTAAGGATGAATTCCGAGTGTTCCGCCTGAAAACCAGTACTCATTGGAGTCCCACAAGACTTTGTCCTACGTCCTTTACTTTTTATACTGTATGAAAACAAACTCCCAAGTAAAGTCCTCAATGCCATTATACGCTGATGTAAAAACCCGGCGAGAAATAACAGGAGACGCAGATGCGTGCGCAGCTCATGCAGACCTAGATGCTTTGACTAACTGGTCTAATAAATGGCTGATACCCACCAACGCGACCAAGTGTGTCTACATGCATATTGGGGATACAAAGGCGAATAGGTACAACATAGGGGAATTGTCTGTACCCGTAGTCTCTCAAGTACCTTCGGGTGACAGTGAGCCATGATCTTAAGACCACGGCCCACTGCCGCGAGGTAGCAGCTAAGGGGTATGAAACACTATGGGCTTTAAGATGGACATCCATCAAGTTAGATTCTACTACGTTCACCACAGTATACACAACCTTAGTGAGAACTAAACTTGAAAACTGCCTTCAGGCTGTAAATCCCTGTTTAAAAGGTGACTCGGATATCCTGTGAAACTTGCAGAGGTCAGCTATCCATGCAATTTCAGAACCCCGGGGTTTACCACACAGAGAGTAGCTTGAAAAGGTAGACCTCTTTACTCTGTCTTACCACAGATTAAGAGGCAATATGATTTTTATGTACAGAATACTAAGGGACGATTCGGGATTTAATATATCTTCTTTTTCTTCCCACCAGATTAGGAAAACTTAGAGGACATAGCAGACGAGTGGAAAAGCCCAGAACGAGGAGTATACCAGTGGCATACAGGTTTCCACAGTGTCATCAATTGTTGGAACCTGTTACCCGAAGCAGTTAGGTCTTCACCTTCAACTGACCTATTCAAGAGAAGACTGGACAATCATAGAAGCATACTAGATAAGAAATAACACGAGCCGTAAGCCTTCTGTCCTTACTACATAAATCTGAGTCTGAATTTAAATTTAACGTCAGTCAAAATTGAAGCCGAAAAGTTTAGTCAGGAACCGACCGCGAAACGTTACGCCAAAGATCCCAGTGGATTGTTGAAGAGAAATTATACGAGTAGATTGCTGCTGAACTTTTAATTATTTGCTTTCGTGAATCGCGAGCCCTCGAAACATTGGGATAGCGATCGTTACATGCATGCAACTGAATAATTAATTCAACGCTGTGGGAAACCAACAATAAATGTTCACCTACGTGCGTAAAGGGGTCTCATCAAATAAAAATTCCATGTTAAATGTAAAGAGGCAATCCAAAGCGCCATAGCCTCGGGAATCATCTCCAAACAAAATACGACGTCCTTGAGATTCCAATATCCAATATCTAAATCGTGAGCTTATATGTGTAGCGGTTAATATCTAGTCAAATGTTTCAAATAGTTCAAATGGTTGTGGACGGAATAGAAGAAGCTTTCACTTAACAGGCTTCCGTGTCTAGTAGCAGGGGATCACCAAAACCTCCTGGCAGGAACCTAAGTATATTAACAATAAAGAGGAAAAAGAAATTGGTAAATCATAGTGTGATACTATCCTTAATCCTTAAGAATAGATCAAGTTGCCTCTTAAAGGACTCCTGTGAAATCGCTTGGACTAGCTCGGCCGCCAGTGAATTCCAGCGTTTGACAGCCCTTAAGGAGTAGAAGCGCTATCTACAATCCGTTCTGCTGTGTTGTGTCTCTAGTCTCTGGGTGTTAACCCTTAGGTTCGTGTTAGAGCTAAACTTAAGTAGGTGTTTAAGGGGATGTTCAGAGGTGTTAAGGATACTATAAGCCATTAGAGAGTCACCTCTAAGACGCCTATACTCTAATGAGTTAAGGTTTAGTGTTTGGAGGCGTTCTTCATGTGGCTTGAATTGGAGTCCCCGAATTGATTTCGTGACTTGCCGTTGGACACACTCCAGAGTGTCGTTGTCCTTCTGGAGTGAGGGAGAAAATACTGTGTTTCCATATTCTAAATGGGGACAGATAAAACTATTGAAGATTATATGAAAAATTCTTCCGTCAAACTGGCCAAAAATGCTCTTCAATGTTACCAGTGTAAGGTTTGCTCGGAAGACATTTTTGACACAGTTAGCATAAGACTTTAAATCGTAGGGCACCAGAACTCCTAAATCTTTTTCGACTTGGAATACTACTAGAGAGGAGTATCCCAAATTATAACTGTAGTCTGCGACATGTCGCAGATGGACTACTTTACACTTTGAAGTGTTAAAGGTAAGTCCGTTGTCGTCTGCCCAACTTTTAAGTCGAGTCAGATCCTCCTGAAGTGCCTTTATATCGTCTCGGTTGCGTATCTCTCTCCAAAGTTTCGCGTCGTCGACAAAAAGTAATAAGTCTGACGTTACCTGTTGAGGAAGATCATTTATGTAGATCAAGAAGAGAGAAGACCCTAGTACTGAGCCCTGGGGGACCACACTAGGACATTCCGTGGCCTGAGATAAAGTGAAATTAACCCTGACCTTAAAATGTCGATTTTTCAGGTATGAAGCGAGCCAATCGATTAGAGGTGATTTAATACCCAGTTGTTTTAGCTTATTGATAAGAAATATATGGTTGACCATATCACAATCCGTGGGTGAAATTTCCTTTCTGTTGCCTAAAAATCTTGGTTTAACAACTTATCACCCTAATCACGGCTTTTCAAAGAGAGATAAGTTGCGTTTGATTACGAAAAACGCCTAATTTTCTGGCATACCAGTGATGTTATTGAAACAACACCGGACCCCGGATGAACCAACCTATCCTGCTAGAAGTATTTCAACCTTATAAAATCGGTCATGGTATATTGAGCTCTTTATTACCATCCGTCGGAGTCGAGAATGGTTAAAACGGAATGGTTGAGTAAGTGAGAGACTCCTATGCACACCGCAGCTCGATTGTAATCTGTTTTATTTTATTCTAAGAATTTGTTTTCTGAAATAAATCATCATTCTATTAGGATTGTATCTGTACTCCGAGTGTACTTGGATAAAAATACCCCTCAGTCTTCAGGCTGAAGGTCGGTCTAGGGAGTCAACGGATGTTAAGTCTTCGTTAAATGAGAGTAAAAACTAACTAGGTGATTGAGACTATCATTTACATCGAATACGGTCAAAATCTACGTCTAGTTGACCTTATTAATCTCTCTAACCTTATCAATCTCTCTGACTTCAGGTTTAGCTCATATTTTTTCTGTCATTCAAGAAAGTGATAAGTGTGTAGCGTGGCGTCGAGTCCCAATTGACTATGAACACCGCTACAGAGAAACACGTGCGAAATAAATCCCCAGGAAACGAAATATCAGAAGGCATTTAATGGGCCAAGTCGAGATATATTTGCTGGTGATCTCGTGGTATCGAAAGGATGCCGAGATCATCCCAGGATACAAGCTTGGTTACAGAACGTAACCGAATTCGCGCGAAGTCACAATTAAAGTGTTAGAATAATAGATGTTTATAGCACAGTTAAACAAAGAGCACATTAAATCAAGCACTGGTACAATTGGTTATAATAATAATTGTTTTCAATAAACCAATCGTGTTCTCGTGATAAAAGATTCACTACAAGTGCTTCAGAAGTTCTTTGTTCTTTCCAATGACCGTTTATGAGGCCGAACTGAATATACCACATGTAACGATTGGCCAAAACTACAGTACGCTGACGTATGAGAACAGTCTCCTTTGTGCTTCAAAAATTTTTATATGCGAAAGTTTCTTTCTGGACAAAAATGAACGTCTCAGAACCGTGAAACATGCACCCCTACAAGCCTACCCGGTGACAAGCATTTATCCTATCACTGAATCTCGAACATACATAGTCGATGACGAAAGCAGAAAACTCAGTTATTTTTGCAGTGCACCGCTTGAATGTGACGCAACTTCTCAGACTGTTCAATAATAACAATAGTGATCTCTAGATCACTAGTATTTGATAATAAATTCGTGGTAAACAGCAGCCCAAAAACAAACATATTTATCCTTTCACGCAGATAAACCACAAAATCAAAATTCGCTATAATTGTCAAACCAAGTCTAAGCCACTGTGCGGTGAGCCCCGTTGTTTTGAACACCTTTTCACTCATCGAATATCAAGCACAGTACTACCAATTCTATCAGCTCCTAAGATTAACCGGGGCCTTAACTCAGAGGCTGGTAGTACGCCATAAATCCTTAAATTTAACAAAAAGCTCGTTGAGAACCCTGAATTACGCATAATCGTACACACATGAATCAAGCGCTAAATGAAAGGACCTCAATTAAAAAGACAATCACCATCCGATATATACATACAATCTCCTGCGATACATGTACATTTCAATAGTCAGACTTACCGATGCAGAATTATGGTCTACTTCGTAATTAGTACTGCTCTAATGATAGACCCAGTCCTAAAATTCTATATGCGTCATGACGTAACTACCTAATCTATGAGATCTTAAGTGGAGGTCCCATCATTATCTAAACTGACTCGTCGTATCGCAACTATCGGCAATATGTTTGGCTTTCCTAAAGAAAACATTTACACTGGAGATAGAACAATCTATTCAATATGAATAGAACAAAAACGACCACGCCTGCGAGGCTGAGTCATACCATCCGATTGGTTCTCGAACGAACGTTCCTTCGTTCACTTTTGTTGGCATTTTCTCCGTGGTACATGTTAAAAGTCTATTTTCTCAGTTGTCGCAGGTTCAACTTTGAGGATTGTATGGGTAAGACCAATACCACCACGTACTAATTAACAGACACGGGGATAAAATGAAGTGCACTAGCCAGTAGGTCTTTTGGGAAAATATCACACAGTTGCCGCATAGTCCATGCAGCAGGATGCATTGAACAGAACAAGGAAGACAAAGAGGGATGCCTGGTGCATATGGTGGGCCCCATCAAATAGCTCAGATCGTCAACCATACATGAGATCGAAAAACGGATCCAGAATGAAAGTAAGAGACAGCAGGAGGCTTTTTCAAATTTAATCAAAAAACTAAGATAAAATCTGGAGCACATCGGTTTATGTTCCAAAAAAAGAACAAATCAGGAAACTTATGTTATCACCCAAACTTAAGTTGGGATTGTCACCAACTTCAAGGCGTGTGATTCAACAAGCAAATGAGCCAGATGCCAAGTTAACTGATAAAAAATAGAGGTCAAACAATGACAATAGCGAGGAGAACCATACAGATGAAGCCAGGATTAATGTCAAGAAGGTTAATTAAACTTGGATTCAGCCTTTAATATGGGTTGCAATGATATACATCCATTTCTGTTTACTAAGTGACCTGTCTCAACACCTCTAAGACGTTTCCTCATATTGAAATGTTTTGAGCAAACGTGTGCATCAAAGGTTCTCAACGATTACCTGAAGTACATAATAAGACTCACGAAGGGAAGTAGTGCTGATTTAATGAAGAGGATCATGGAAACCAACTTGCATTCTAAAGCATCCCGGAAATTTTCACGTTGCTCCAGAGTTCGGCCAAATAGGAAGACTCACAAAAGTTATGCATCAAATCAAATCGAATCTCTAGATTCATTTATTACTACGATGCTAAAAAATGTCGATAAGAGAATTTATGCTGTGGACGATCTTTCTGTTATATTTTCGGACTATATTAAGCTGGCGGTTGATACAAGAAAAGAAAACAAACATATGAGACTTAAGAAAAATCTAAGCTAACAGATTCCAGAAATAAATTTTCCACCTAACCTAGTTCAGTGCGTATGCAAATTCACCATAGTTAATCTCAATAAGACTGAGTTAAGAGCATTGTCACTAGGCCTTAAGTTTATCACTTTAGGAAATGGTTAATCAAGCTGACGTCAAAATTTAATTTGAATACCCTTATGCCCGAACGGATCAAAAATGACGTCGAAAGATGTCTCTTCCCTTTTCATCAACATTCCCCTACTTGAAGCTTTCAATATTATTTTCAGTGAAATAACAGATAGATGCATAGGAACCTTTATTCACGTATCTGCGAAAAACAGTTAATTCATAGGTGCATGGTGAATGCCCACTTCCGGGTCCACAACGAATACTGTAGACAGATGGATAGTGTAGCCATGGGGTCACCATCGGGGCTTCTACCGGCAGACAATTTTTTGCAAAACTAGAAGGCGAACCATTTAAGGGCACAATCAATCATATAACGGCTCACTGTGGCTATATAGATGATGCTTTCATAATATTTAAAAAAATATGAAAAGGATCATTTACCTAATATATTTAATAATATTCATCCATCAATCACCTCTTCATTAGATGATGAATAGAATAATAGCATATCGTTTTTAGACGACCAACCAACTAGAAGAGTAGAAGCAATATTAACAAGAGGAATACATAGAAAGCTTTTATTT